GCATGTGATTCCCTGGGTTCCCAGGCTGCTGCTGACCAGCAAGTCCCAAAGGGAGCCATGAGGCAAGCCCTCAGTATGCAGGCCAGGGTGACCTCTTTCCAGCTTCTGAATTCCAATTTGTATTCCCACTCAGAGGCCTGATGGTGTGACCACTCATTTCAGTTTGCCAAGGATTGAGTTTTCCCAGGACATGAGATTTTTAGTGCTAATGCTTTGGAGGGTCAGTCCCCTTGTGCCTGGCACACCATGACACACAGGCAGTGTGAGAACATTTCATATTCCCTGAGAGATCTAGCTGGAATCTAGAACAGAGAACTGAATAGAGTTAGGGTCCCATCTTTCTGTGTCAGGCCTAAGACTGATGAGGTATATCTTCATGGCTCTGCACCTTCATTTGCTTTTAATCTCTATGGCTAATCTGAGAGGATGAGGCATTACTGCCAACAATGGATGAGAGTAGGTCTGCAGGCATGTTCTGAGATGAGGGCGGCACCAAGGAACCAACATCTCATGTGTAGTCCCTTTGAACGGAAGTATGTCATCCACAAACTACTTTTCTCGATTAAAAACTACAGTTAGAATTTATTATGCACCGGGCAACACAGGCAATGCAAGCTTGTGTCATGTGTACTGCCAGCCCTCAGAGAGGGAGACACTGATACGATGAACTCTATCTACCACAAGGCTACCTATGGGATTACTAAGATGGCAAAAGGCCGTGGGATCTAAGGAAGAGAGCACCGGGGTGCCTCTGCTTTACTATATGCCAGCTACTTTACATTCTTTACCTCTCACTTCAGAGCTGACATTTCTTAAGGACTTACCATGTGACTAACCCATTTGATTTTTACAACAATTCTATTATACTCATTCTATGAGTGAGGAAGATGAAGCTTTGAAAAGTCAAGTATCCTGGTCAACATTGCAAGTTAGTACAGAAAGTCTGAGCCCAGAGAGTTGAATTTTGTCCCTGGCACAGTCTGAGACTGAATCTCTACCTTCATTAGGGGGCTGGACCCTCAACATGACATCAGACAAAAGCAAATGAGTGGGCTCTGGGAGCAGGAGAGTGTGGGTGTCCATAGTATAACCGTGACAAAGAGAAACACGTGGTGGGGTGTCTGATTCTGAACTGCAGGATCCCAAGGCGTGACACCAGGAATGTTCCACTGGAGGTGTGGGAACTCTGGGCACGCGGATGTTCTAGGGGAAACTGGCAGAACAAATGCTGTCCTCTGTCCCTCTGGCTGCAGTAGAGGCTAAAGAATGTACAACTAGAATGTGAGGCCAAGTGCCTGACTTCTTTGTCATCCTTCAAGGGCCAAAGATGAGTGACAGTCATTGTTTTACATTTTTGAGTGCTTTTGTAAATTCTCAAAAGTATATCTTTCTTCTGTACTTAGAACATCTGAGCAACTTACTTTGCATATATAGGGTACTTGATGTATGCAAATAAAAGAAAAATAAAAATGTGCTGATCTGACACGCTGTGACTGATTTTTAACATGTGCAACACAATAGTGGATGCAGAAGTTGGGTGTTCGGCACTATTGAAAGTGCTCATTTCAGTGATAACAATCCGTAAGTACAGTATTCTCAGTGGGCACTGGACACTGTTAAGTATAATCAATATCTTTTTTGTTTACTTTATATGTTTTATAAAATGAATACATAATGTCAGACAATAAAAACACTTGCCACTGATATATAAAAGCATTAAAATTAGTCTCCCTGTAGTAATAATTAACAAAGCATAAAAGTAGGAAGGACACTATTTGAAACAAGACAAAGAAATATAAGCTTCTGGGAGGGGACAAAAACTGATACTCGTTTTGCTCAGTTTCATTGTTAATAATTCTTGGTTAATCCAATTATAGTTTTTCCCCCCAAAGAGGCTCCTATCTAAAATATTGGGTTGTGAGGAGCCTTTCTGTGACTCTGAGACTTTGGTCAGCTCCTGGCACAGCCAGGTGTTAGAATCCTGTAGCCTCTTCTTTAGAAAATAACAAAGTTGTCTTATGGCAAAGAGAAAAACGTTCTCTACTTGCTGACTCTAACTCAGCTTTGCACTACAATGGCCTTTATGTTTCTGTATAAGTAGAAACTGATGTTCAGATCTATCGGTCTGATGTTTCTGCTCCTGTACTTCAGTGCAACCAGAACCACGCATGCTCGGGAGAGCCTCTTGCTCCTGGTGGACCTTTGGGTGTTGTGGACCGCTCTGCCTGGTTCTAGGAATTGTTACTCTACCCCCTGTGGCTAAGGAGCAGTCAGTGACCTCTGGAATGCCAGTCGCAGGAGACAAAACTTGTCTCTGGTAGCAAATGCTGCCTCAGTTTCCTTCCTGCCCCCAACCCCCAAAGCATGGTCGGAAGTCTTTGACGAGTAAGACCCCTCAAAGGAGGGGCAACCTAGGCCAGACACAACCACTTGGGAGGCCATCATGGAAGGACTTGGGGGGCTGCAACAAAGAGCAGTGGACTCTCGTGCCCCCCTCTGCCCCGGGGCTTTGAGATAGCCTGAGTCCCCATGTACTCTGGGAGAAGTGCTTCCTGGCTCTAGTCACCTTAAGCCTGAATACCTGATGGGGAGGGGTGCAGCTCCTGGCCTTGCTAGAGTGTGTCAGTGTCTGGGGGAAAATCTGGCATCACAAAGACTTCCTGATAAACCTGTGAAATCTGCTCTACTAACAGTGCTTTCATTCATATGTTAAGGGTTCGAGCAGGAAACCCTAAAACTCTCTGCCTGACAGACTCTGACTCAGACTATCTACTGTTTGATCCTTGCTGCCCTGTATTCCTGTGTATTACAACCCAATAAAAGCCCTTGGAGGAAGTGGCTCAGCTCCTTTTCCCCCCTGATAAACTGGCCACTGCTCAAGGCCTTTTTCCTCTGGGAAACTGACCATCTCTCCTCCCCAAGCAGATCATGTCTCAGTCACATTTACTCTCATCCGTGGCACACAGGGGGACTTGCGAGCAAAGTCACCCCCACATTTGGGGAAGGTGTTTCCCCTGCATCTGAACAAGTCAGTTGAAGAGAACAAAAACTAAACTCACCAAAAACAGAATCATCTCTGGGAGATCAGAGTGGTTTCTTCACTCTCTTCATTTCCATGGTCCCTATCAACTCTTTCCTTTGTTCTTGACATTTTCTAAAATGAACTATATCACTCTTTCCAGCATTTTAACTTCCTTGAGCTGTTTGTGCAACCTTGTCTTCTTCAAGTGGCTGTCTACCCACAGCAGCCATTATAGAGAACAAACTAGTAATACTCACTCAAAATGTATTTCAGCTTCTTTCCTCACTAGTTATCCAACTAATTCAGAGACAACGTAGTTCTTGCCTCCAAGAGCTTTCTAGAAAGCAGTTGCAAATAAAAATGAAGAATATTGGCACTTCTTTAGCGAATGACATACTTCAAGTGTACCCAGAAAGTCTTACTTTCTTTCAGAATTCTTGAGTGACACAAAAAATATACATATTTAACCATGTACTTTCATAGCACTATAACGGATTTCAAGTCCAGAGGTTCTAAAGGAGATATGTGACATTCACCAACATCTTTGCCAGGTTCAGGTACTGCACTGTATTAAACTTGTCTTTTATTTTTTGTGTTTGGATTCTTTACAATCTGGGGTCTTGCTGACCACGGAGGTCCCTGGGGCTAGCAATTCCTCGAGTCAGTAAATGACTCACCCTCAAGCGGCTCACTCAGTAATCAATACAAACCAACAGAACACACACCCCAACTACCTCTTCTACCTCCTCTCACATCACCCCAGGGCCAGGTCCCAGACAACCAGGGTAGCCCCCAGCCTCAGAGCCCACTGAAATTATTCTAACTAGTCAATCTTAAACTGGCTTGCCTGCCTTACCCATTTGCAGGAAAACCACAACAAACGCTCCTGCCCATGTCTCCCCTGCACCCTCCGCCTCCGACCAACCTGGCTGCTGCCCTGCGTGGCCCCCATGATGTGATGTGCCTCTCTCTTGGGATCTGTGAGCATAACAAACAGTCTTTGGATAGTTTGATTTGTTGGCCTCACCCTACACAAATAATAGCTGTATTTTAGAAACATGTACACAAAGGGAAAGGAAGATGGTGGGAAAGATGACAGCCTGCCCGACGTTCTGGCCATCACTCAGATGGACGTGGATGGAACGCAGCTGCTCTATCAGCTACATTTAGCAAAAGTGCCACTTCTACTGTTTCAGGGAAAAAGCGTGATTTTACTGTATAGCAGTGTATTATACTGGCTATATAAGTACTCAGCAGAGCCAACTAGAATGAGCCGTGATGGGGCATCCCAGGAAGATTCCACACGTTACAAGTATGATGTGGTTTTTCAGAGTCCTCGACTTCAAAAGCTCAGATTGAGTCCAACTGTGAAAATAATGTATGAAGAAAATAAACGTAGTCCCCATTCCCCTAAATGATAATAGTAAAGTTTTGTATCAAGTGTTCTGGGTCCTACTTATTCGATTAAAATTGCATCCCAGGGGATTCGGTGTGAAAGCCAAGTCCCTGTGATGCTGCACTCTTGTCTGGGCTTCCTCCGTCTCTATCACTGGAATCAGAGCTGCTCAAAGGCAGTTTTACCTGTGTCTGCCCAGTGGTTGCCACACAGTAGGTGTTCAACCTGTATTTACCCACTATTTGCTTCTCATCATCTCTTTTTATAACAGTGTAAGAGATGACGGGAGAGACCAGAGATGTTCATAGAAGAGATTAAGTAATTAGGTGACTGATTTTTGAAGTTGAGAATTAAAGCTACTCCTTTTGGCTGAAAACACCATCATCCCATTGTATTCTGCCACCCCTCAGAGAAATTTAGAACACTTATCTGGTGGCTGGGGACATCTTGGCATCTTCTGACCTTTAACTGACCTCTGAAGCCTATCGAATTCTGCAGCCTCAGCCAACAACTACCCATTGGTGTGCATTTTGCATGGGTCCTGGGGTGACCTGGCTGTCATTACTGCCTAGTGACACTCACCAAGGGCTCCAGCTCCTTGCGGTCTATGAGGTTCATCTCTGTGACGAAGTAATAGAAGTGTTTGTAGCAGGTGTTGACATGGGCCTCTGCGCCCATCACAATGACCCGGTCGAAGTGGTGAATGTAGACGTGGACAAAGACCCGAAAAAGGCGGCACAGGATCTTCTTGCAGATCTGAAGGAAGTTCTTTGGGAAGGGAACACCTACAGAAGGTGAAAAAAAGAGAGCAAGACCATGATGGGAAAGCTTTGGCAACCCCCGAGGACCACGTGTGAGGCTGAGCAGCAGTCCTGGACCCGGGCTCCCAGGCCGGCCTGCAGACACTCAGCTGCGTCTGACCCTGCCTAAGAAAAGTGGCTAGAGCGCTGCTAAAATCAAATGCCAAAAACCACCAAAAAGAGGAAAGAGGGCCTGGTTTGCACCTTTGGTTATATCTTATTTTGGTATGAATAAATATGTAGTAATACTTATTTTTATATAGAAATGTGCACTCTCCCGTATTGCCTTTTAATCTTTTCCCCACTTTTCCCTGGGGTTTATAAACCCCAGGAAAGTTCATTCCCTTGTCACCTCTAATGTAAGAAAATGGGTGGGAGCCGGGTGATGCTACAGGGAGACTGGCACCCCCTGTCACAGAGTACTAGGGGGCGGTGGAGACTGCTGTGGCAGACACAGCTCCAGCCCTCGGGGCCACATGTGGATGGAGGCCCAGAGCCATTACAGATTGTGATTTTTGAGATAATTAAGAAATTTGGAGCTCTATGTGACTTGCTGCATTAAAAAATAGCAATTTTAAAGATACCACAGGTCAGAACAAAACATCTTTCTAGGTTAGATTTGCTGCAGGTTGCCAGTATGCAAATTCTAATGCAAACTTTTCATGAGACCCTGAGATACACTGTTCCTGAGGTGGGCAAAAGCAACAAACTTCATAAATACCTCACATCACATTCACTACCACTCCATCACCTTGAAGTCGGTAAGAGCTCGGGGCTGTTTTTCACGAGGCAGACACCCAGGTTCCCCATCTGACCCCTGCTGCTCCCAGCTTAGGCAGGCGGTGAATAGCAGATTCGCAAGCCTACTTCCTCTCAAACACTGCTTAAGCTCTTGTTCTTTACATTGTCCTTAAGCGGTAACTTATTGTTAGGGCATCCTAAGTGAGGCACGCTTTGAATCCCTACTCGGCTCCTTTTCCAGCTGTAGTTGACCTCTCTGACCTTCAGGTTTTCTATATGCAGGATGCAGAAAAAAATTTCAGTGGTTGTGAGGATTAGAAGTAGAACCTGTACAGCTTTGGTTTCCCATCTGTAAAAGGGGGATCATGGTAAGGCCTCCCTTGCATGGCTAGGAAGGTGTTAATACAAGTCAAATCCTCCTCCAGTCCCTAAAACAGAGTAAGCATTCATTAAATGGGAATGGCCCCCCCTTTTCTCTGCAAGGGAAGCTCACAGCATCCAGCTGTTGTTATAAGGAAAATAATTAACCTTCCCAAGAAAGGTAGACATGATTACCGGCCTCTCAACAGAATAGCAGAGCTGTGCTCAGGGCATGGCCCTGGTCCCATAAAGCCTGGAATTTGCTGTCTGTGCCTCCACAGGGTCCTGGTGGCAGCTGTCCGGTAAGAGACACTCTGTAATGGGATCACCTCAGGCTCCCGGGGCCAGATAAGAGAGACGGTACATGGCTGGCAGTTGGCAGAGGCAGGATCTGCCTCCCCAGGGCCTGGCACTGACACCGGCTTTTCTTCAAACACAAAGTGGTAATATATCAAATGAACCCAGGCAGAGACTTGGCCACAGCTTGGCAGCTGACGGTCTGAGCAACAGATGCTGGGGGAAGGCGGAGGTAAAGCTGGGGAGGAAGCGTAAAGCAGCCCCTCAGAGAGTTTATGGGCTGCCTCCTTTGCCAAAGAGAGGCCAGTGAAAACCCCTGCTGCAGCCTGGATGAGGGTCTGGCATCTTCTAAGAAGCTCAAGTCCCAAAGGCGATAGAATCCCCTCTAAGATAAATATGTTCCCGGCAGAAGTGGAGCCCTTTAACCACACAGTAACAGTGCCAGCCGACTGACGTGTGCTGCATTTGCAGCCCGCCTGTGAAGTAGGCTTCCCTACTCCCAGGTCACAGATGGAGAGCACTGAGGCTCTGAACCGCAGGCTCACTTGCTCCGGGCCACTTAGCAAGGGGCAGGGCTGGGATTTGGACCAAGTCGGCTTGCCTCTAAAATCCAAAGGATCGGGTGTGTGGCTCTCTCTGCCAGGGATAGAGGCATAGCTCAACTGCTAAGCACAATGAGGCACTGAAAGGTTACTGTTTGGTGGCACAAAAATACAACTTAAGAAAAGGAAGAGAAGGGTGAAAAATGTCCACACCCTAGGGAGCCACAGAACCGAGGTGGTGGAGGTCAGCTAATATAATCTGCAGTCCTTAAGGAGAAATGTGTTTCCTCCGTCAATGCCTTGAAACCACAGCTCTGAGATGAAGAGTAAAAGCCAACATTTACTGAGTACTTACTATGCTCTAGGGACTGTGGCAAGTGCTTTACATGGATTACCTGATTGAATCCTTAAACAACCCTTGAAGATAAATACTATTACTGTTTTCATCTCACAGATGAGAAAATAGACTAGCATCTCTGCCTCTGATACGATCTGAGCTCTTGGCTCTGCCCTCTATTCCACATCTGGTATCTGGCCTTGCCTTTGGCCTTGACCTTGGTTTGCTCTTGCCTCTCCCCATTAGGTTATGGCTGGGAATCATCTTTAGAGTAGTTGAGAGGAGTTGGTTTTGAAGTCTGAAGATCTTCTTTAAAATCCTACCTCTACAACTTACTACTTGTCTAGGCAAATCACTTCAGCTCTCTACTTCATCATGGAGAAAACATTTACTCAGCAATGGGTTTTTTTTTTAGATTTTTTATTTATTTCTTTTTAGAGGGGAAGGGGGGAAGGAGAGAGGGAGAGAAACATCAATGTATGGTTGCCTTTCATGCGTCCCCTGCTGGGAACTGGCCTGCAGGGAACCAGCCTGCAACCCAGGCATGTGCCCTGACTGGGAATCGAACCGCGATTGTGTGGTTCGCAGGCTCGCGCTCAATCCACTGAGCTACACCAGCCAGGGCAGCAATGTTCTTATCTGTACTATGTCTGGCACTTAGTGGGAACTTTGGGTCTAGGTTCTACTTTTGTTATTTCCCACCTGAACTCCTTGGGTAGGACCTCAAGCTCAGAACCTCTTCGCTCTGGCTGCTAAGCTGGGCCTGAGTCTTCTATCAATGTCTCCCTTACTTGTAACTCATTCTACAAAAGGAAACTCTGCAAACAACTCAAGTGAGGATATGCTCAGCATGCACCGTCATCACCCCAGGCTCGCTCTGGAAGCTGAGAAGTCCCAGGGAGGGAATCTTAGGGAGCCTAGGTTCACTGCTAAGCCAGAGATAAGAATCTCAGCTCACAGAACATGAGGTTAAGAATAAGAAAGTTACATGACATTTGGGAAATTCATCCAATATTATTGATGGTTCAAGGACCAATTATACAGTTTGTATACCTTCTTAACCCTTTTCTCCCCTTCTCTTCTGCCTTCCAGGCATTCGGATTTGTGTGTATGCATGCATATAAGTATGTGTGTGTTCTCTCAATAAATCTTCTCCAGAAGGTGGGAGGAGGAAGAGTTCACCCCTGGATGTAGAGAACTTGATGGTCACCCATCTAGTGGACTCTGAAACTCTCACTCTGTATACTGGCCTCATCATAGCAAGACAGGGCGACTCAGCCGTGCTGATCCACTCCCTGCCCTGACAGGTTCCAGAGGGGCCAGATCACAAAAATTGAATTTCATGACAGGTTTCTGCCTTATGGCGCCACTAAGAAGTACCCAATCTCCATTAGATAGTCATGGAAAAGTGAATGCTGAGTAAGGCCTGATATGTGCATGTTCAATGTTGTTTAGTCCTTGAATTACCCTGAGCAGTGGCATTATTATTAGTTTTTTGATGTAACTGAGTCTTAGCTCAGTTACAAAAATTGCCCCTGGCTCCACAGCTAAAAGGAAGCTCTAAAATGCAGGCTCCTCCTTCCAGGAACTGGTACCACAGGCTCCACGTGGCAGCGAACTCACTGCTCACATGGCCATTACTGACCTGCACTTAGTTCAGTACCTGGCTTGTAGAAGAAGCTTAAATAATGTCTGTTTGTTTTAATTGAATATAGTCCAGCAGTAGGAAGAATAAAAGGCTAGTAAATCATTTCAAATGGCCACTGGGCTAGTTACAAATGACAGCCTGAACCTGAGGGGGCCATGTGATGTCTGGGTCTGGGCCAAGGGCCAAGGCTGTCGGTGTGGCCCCCATGGTACCATGGACCTAGCCAGGGCCACCTCCAGTCCCCTTCTTCTGTCAAGTACATAAGATACTGTGTGTGGGGGTGACTTTTCTCGAAAGTCCCCCTGTGTGCCATGGATGGAGAGTAATAATGACAGAGATATGATGTGATCTGCTTAGGGAGGAGAAGTGGCCATTTTTCCAGAGGAAAAAGGCCGTGGGCAGTGGCCAGTTTCTCAGGGGAAAAAGGCCAGCAGCAGCCAGTTTCTCTAAGGAGAAAAAGGCCTCGAGCGCCTTCTTCCATAGCCTTTTATTGGGTTGTAATACACAGGAGTACAGGGCGGCAAGGATCAAACAGTAGATAATATTACAAAGTGGTCTGAGGGTTTACTATGAGTCAGTGTCTGTCAGGAACAGAGTTTTAGGCTTTCTTGCTCGAACCCTTCACATATGAATGAAAGCACTCTTAGCAGAGCAGATTTCACAGGTTTATCAGCAAGTCTTTGTGATGCCAGATTGTTCCCCAGGACACGCTCTAGCAAGGCAAGGAGCTTCACCCCTCTCCATCAAGTATTCAGGCTTAAGGGGATTAGAGCCAGGAAACACTTCTTTTAGAGAACATGGGAACTCAGGCTATGTCAAAGCCTGGGGTGGGGGAGAGTCCTTTGCTCTTTTTTGCAGCCCCCCCCCCAAGTCCTTCCCTGAAGGCCTCCCAAGTGATCCAGTCTGGCTTAGGTTGCCCCCCCCCACTCCCACTGTGAGGAATCTGACCCGTCATTAACTTCTGACCAAGCTTTGGGAGCAGGGAGAGGAAACCGAGGCAGCATTTGCTACCAGAGACAAGCCTTGTCTCCTGTGCCTCGCATTCCAAAGGTCATCCCTTGCCCTTAGCCACAAGGGGTCGAGATACAATTCCTAGAACCAGGCAGAGTGGTCTAGAACAACAGTGGGCCTTCCACATGAGTGATGTTTTAAAAATGACTAATCCTAGAAGAACCATGGCTAAAATAAGAAGGTTATGAGGTCAAGTATATTTGCAAAAATACTGCTTTCATAGAGGTTTACAGTATTCCTAAATACTATAAAAGTAAAGGGTCTGAGAATTTTTATAGGAAGAAGTCCTCTTTAACTCTGGACCCTCCTTCCCCCCATAATAACTATTGATTTAAAACACAGAATCTGTAATCAGACATCTCAGGTTTCATTTCTGGCTTTACTACCTATTAACAATATAGCCAATGCAAATGGCGAATGGGGTAGAGTCTCTAAGCCTGTTTCCCCATCTCCAAAGAAACAGAGATGTTAACGTTATCTGTAGCTCAGGAGGTTGATGTGAAGATTAAATACACGCATATAAAAGGATTTGCTAATGCGTTGCAGATAGTAAGCACTCTTTTGTGAACTTTTAGTTTTAGTATCTTATGGAGACCAAATGCTCTTTGTAACATACGTTTGAATGAAATTCCTCTGGCATATTTATTTTCAGGACTGTAGTCTTGGTATTAATGCATCAATTCTGAACTTGCAAAGAACTTAGTGTGGTAGGTACTCAATTAAGCATTGGATTATATTCTGCCTTGAATTACTTTCTGTACATTTCTCACACTTATGTCTTGTATTACTTCAAGTTCCCTGAACAAAGGAACAGTTTATACTTCTTTTCTACTTTTAAAAGCACCCAGCACAGGGCAAGGTAGGAAATACACATCAATCATAATTGAATTATAAAAGAGTAGTGATCCTATTTAGTTAAGATGTGAATCCATCATCTCCCATTTAGGGGAGGAAAAAAGACTCCAGCAGAAATGATAGCTTTCTCCCGGGGCCTGGGTATGGTCCTGGCACGGAAGGCTGCACACCGCTTTTGGTGTGAAGGGAGGAGAGCTCTGTGGTAAGAACATTTTGATCTAGCTTAGAATGTGGGAAGAAAGAAATCTGAAACTCCTCTCCTTTTAATCATTAAGTCTTCCCTTCTTCACCTTACAATGTAGTTTTTCAAATGCAATAGTTAATTTTGTCATGTACTCAGTTAGAAAGTTAATGCCAGACAATATTAACCAGCAGTCTTAATAGGTTGTATGTTTGAAGAATGTGGAGTTAAACTTTGACTAGTCTTGTAATAACCTGGACAAACCATCCGATACTAATCCCAGACAGATATGCACTGATGACATAGACAACCTTTGATCAGAAGGTCTCTTTATGAGCATGAACTGACCTCTGAGCATCCCCTGTCTCCATCCCACCCTGAGACAGTCACATCCTGTGACCCTCAGATTCAAGCAGGGAAATTTCAGACTTCAAGAAGTTGGCTCAAGATGAGAAAATATGTTCAGATGAGTGTCACACACGGGGGTGATGACAACTAGGTGATAACAACAAGGATGACCTTGAACCTGGATGACCTTAGGTCATGGGATGGGGCTTGGTCTTTACAAATGGTCAGGACTAAAATAAGTAAGTGAACCTAAAACAGGGCCAGGCTGAGCTCAGATTCCACAGTAACCCAAGGCAAGAGGCCTGGGTCACTTAGAGGTCAGTATACTAAACCAATCACTCGTATGAGGTTTCAGCAGGAACTTGCTCAACAATGAGACCCCAAGTAGTACTACTGTCTGTGGGGTGATCAGGCCAAGGAGGAGGCAGACTAGAGAGCTGAGGTGAAGCCAATCAAGGAGGTGAGTCTGTGGGGCCTCGAGTCTCTCTCAATGGCCAGATAAGGCAGCCCTATAGCTGTCCTGCTGCTCCTCATGAAGATTTGGTGCTCAGCCAGGAACCAGCATCTGACGAGCCCTGTGGAGTTTATGAATGTGTCTAACCACGGCTTTCTGATCTCCAAGCCACAATCAGTATGAAAGCTAAATTGAGCATGGAATATAATAATTGGGGGGGGGGGGCCCATGCCGATTTGCCTTTCATCTTTGACTTAGTAATCTCCTTTCTCCCAAACAAAAATTTCATAAAAATTTCAGTAATTTATGAGCTTCAATCCATTTTCTTTCTTTCTTTTTCACTCCCTTTCTTTCCCCAAAGCCCTCATATGCCCTGTTCTGAACATGCCTGAAAGAAAGGTGTCTAATGCCTTGTGTTTCCTATTAGCTCGTGCAGAAGCCACAAAGGGAAAAGCCCCTCCGAGAATGCAGAACTGTTTTGGATGAGAGTGCCACAGACTGGAGACAAAGATCCCGAAGTCTGCTGCAGCCCGTTCTGCTTTCCTAATTTTCTCTTCTTCCGAAGAGAAAACCCGATGCTGGGGGATGAGACTGGTCTGGGTTCACGGTGGGCTGAACCTGGGCTGCGGAGGTGTGGGGAGTAAAGGTTAAAAGGTTGTCTGCAGAAACACAAAAGCACTTTCTCCAAACAGCCCAGGTCCACAGCAGCTGGGAGACAGTCTACCTTGTTGTGCACCTAGTCAAAGCCTCCTTTTTCTGAAGAGCTTAGCTCAGAGGCTGCCCTCATTCCCAGACTTGGGTTCCCTGGTGTCTCCTATCTGCTCCTGAAACTTCTCTGAGCATAGATCCCAGATGGTAATTCACGCTCTCTGTGGAATTCAGGTCTGCCCTCAGCACTGTACACCACTGGAGGGCAGGGGAGCGTCCAGGTTCCGCATGGGTGGATCCTGCATGCCCGGCATAGGCCTGGAGCTAAAGTGTGTGTGTGTGTGTGTAATAAATACTTACGGACTGCTGGGCTCAGAGATGAGTTCTTATGCCATTTGTTTACCCTAAAGTGAAAGCTCAGAAAGACCAAGGGGTTGTTGGGTCAGGATTTACCAAGTCAGTTCGGGTTGCAAAGGGCTCTAAATTCAAGTGTGATTCCAGGGCCTTGGTAGCTTCCATTTGGCCAGGAAACCAGATAGGGCTTTCCCAGCTCCTTTCACGTCACTCAGTCCCACTGGCGGAATTGAGGAAGCAGAACTTGTGAAAAGATGAGGTGGAAAAGGGAGGTTTGGTTACTTCCCCAAATGTATGTGTCACTGGGGTCGAGGACAGCGGTTAAGCGTCTGGCTCTGGAGGCAATTACACTTGGGTTCTCATTCCAGCTGTGGAACTTCCGTGCCACTGGCCCTTGAGGACGTTTGCTCACTTCTAAAAGGCTCAATTACCTTACTTGAGGAGCAAGGATCATTCTCCCCAGCTATGGGGAGATTGCAGGCATTAAACAGGAGCACAGTACCAGCAGAAGGCCTTCAGTAACAGGCAGTCATGTTACTATTATTCTAAAGATGACGCTTACTCATCAATGCCCAGAGTCGGGGTGGGGCTGTCTTTCTCCACAGGGCAAGCTCTTTTCCTGGAAGGAGGTTTGGAGCCCATGTGATATACAGAAACATCCCTTGAGCTGTCCGAGCAGTTTGCACATGACACAAGCTGAAACCGAAGGTCCTGGTCAACCTGTTGGGGACCCCTGATGACATGTCAGTTTACAACAACCAAAAATGCCCACACTCCTCCTTAAAAATGTTACTCATGTCGGGTATCATTTGTACAGTCCCTTTTGTATTTGGAGTCCAGCAGCAGGAGTGCACAAGTGAAAATCCCCCCACAAGTCCTAAAAGTCACTCATTCTCAAGAGCTCATGAATAAAAACAACATCCCACCCACGTGGGAAAAGAAAACAGTCTTCCTCTGGCAGTGTGGCTGAGAACATAACATTTCCAAAATACTTGCAAAACAAAATGCAGTTGGATCACAAGGGAAAAAAAAAACAATAGTTAATAACACAGATCTGTTTCTTAAAAATACACCCCCCCCGCCGTAGTTTACTGTGCTGCCCGCTCCCTGCACATTCTCCTGCCTTCTGTACAATGTGTCCGTGTTTATTTAAGGGAGCCCCCTGCTCTAGCTGATTCCTCCAAACAGATGTTTTGTGTTATCTCAGGGTGCTCCTCAAGAAAGTGTCTGTTCGTCATGCCAAGGAAAACAACCCCGTGTAGCAAGACTTTGTTCCTCTGCCTAAAAAAAAATAGTCCCCAAACAAGCTAACAGCTGCAAATGGTTAGAAATAAACTGACTACCACTCTGTTCTCCAACTCCCTCTGCCCTGCCCCAGCACCCCTGTGTTACTCTCCGACCTATTGTCAGTGGCTAGAGCAAAAGAAAGAAAAATAGACTAGCATGTGATGATGTGTTCTAAACAGATTGTTAATTCTTTCAGACACTCCATACGCCAGCAGAGGAAGCACTGTTTCAGCCACCGAAAGGACCAACTGTAGATACAATGTGCCTGTAGTCACACTTCCCTTTCCTTCCCCAGGGCTGCTTCTGGGCAATGAAGCCTGCTCCTTATCTGCACCCCCACCTCCTGGATGGCTGCCCTCTGCTGTCCTCGCGTGGAGTTGGAGGTAGATGGAGACCCACGAAAACCTGAGAAAGATCTTCATTCATTATGGACAGTAAGAGCCAAATGAGAGAGAGCTAGCTGAGAATATGATGTTAATAAGCGTATTGGTACTGAAAAGTTAAGCAGAAAGACTGGTCCTTTGATCGGAATTTGAAAACGACTCAGCCTCCTTGTCATGGATGATGTATTGTAAATATCTTAACCCGCACAACTTTCCTTTATTTACCAGCGGACTATTTCTTCTATTATCTGAAGGGAATTGATACCAAATAATGTCTGAATAGTTTCTAAAAGTCTTATCTGAACAGTTTATAATCTATAAACTTTTCTCCAAGCCCCTTCTGTAGCTCAGGCTGCCATCCCCTCCTTCCTGGTTTGCTCTACTGCCCCCTTAACTGAGCCCCCTTCCTCTGTTCTTGGATTTCTCCCACTCCACCTGGCAGGTTGGGGATCTTCCTGTGTGCACATCTAAGCAGGACATTTGTCTTTCTGCGTAGAATTCTAAAGCAGCTTCTTACTGTTTCAAGATAAAATCAGAGAGATTGAACCAGACAGGAAAGACCCTTTATGGTCGCATACATGTGTCTGCCTCCATCACCGCCTCTGAGTCCTCCCAACTTGCACCTAGTCCTCCAGAGCTAAGATCCTCGCACTGACTCACTTCTGGGTCAAATGAGAGCGAAACTCACTGACTAGGTGTGTACACTAGTGCCCCTTATCTACGGATACGCTCCAAGATCCCCCAGTGGATGCTTAAAACCTTGAGTAGTACCACACCCTGTATCTATTTTTTTTTTTGCCTATATACACATACCCATAATGAAGTTTAATTTATAAGACACAGTAAGAGATTAATGATGATAGCTACTAATAAAATGGAACAATGACAATAATATACTATGACAAAAGTTACCAAAATGTGCTCTCTCTCTGGAACAACTGATCTGATAACTGAGAGGGCTACCAGGTGACTAACAGGCAGGCAAGGAGCATGAAGAGCGAGGATTTGCTGGGTGAAGGGCTGGTTCAAGTCCCAGTCAGGGCAGAGTGGGCAATATGAGATTTCATCCTGCTACTCAGAATGACGCACCATTTAAAATGTATAAAATGTTTACTTCTGGGATTTTCCATTTAATATTTTCACACCCCAGTCGACCCCAGGGAACTGAAGGTGAAAGGAAAACTGCCAATAAAGGGTCCGGGAGACTGCTGTGTGTGTAATTTACACTTGAATACAATCTGAGCCAGGACTCACATATCCAAATGCCATAAAGTAAGCTGGGTGTAACGCAGTGCAGACTGTGGCAACCCGGAGAGTGCTTTGTGCAGGAAAGGAGCAGAGCCTCTCAGCCTTGGCCGACTGCTGTTGAGCAGGAATGAGGGTTCAGGACTGCTGCACCTTCTGGTCTTTCAAGACCGTGCAGAAGCCTAGATTCTAATGTCAAATCTCTTCTTACTTAAATGTTGGTATGTTAAAAATATTAAGAAAAAAATTTAAAGCATTGTTTTTATTGACATTATTTATTTTTATGTATAGTTAACTCAGCCAGGAAAAGCTGACTGTCTACAAGACAACAACTGAATTTTAATTAAAAAATAATTTTTAAAAAAATAAAACAACTGAAAAACATCCTGGCAGCGATGAGCACAAGCAACACCTAGATCTTAGTTTCTATACCTTCTTCAGTGAAGGGAATCACAGCCCCTTGGAGAATGGCTGCTGCTAGGGCTGTGGCAGGAAATACACGATGTGACCTGAAACATCCAGCAGTGCCAGAAAGAAAGGGGATGAGGCCTCCTGCCCGCTCTGTGGGCAATGCTGGGGGACTCGCTTCCATAGAGTACAGCGTGGAAAGGGAGGCAAGAAGAATACAGTGGAGAAAACTAATCAGCACTACATTGGCCAGCAATTGAGGTCAACAACCTCAATGACAACCCATGTTGATGGCTATGCCTTTGATATCATGTGTTGAAAATGTTACTTCACCTCTGTGAAGTATGGATTTTTTCCCATAAATCCATAACCCAAATCAGACCACTAGAAAAACATTAAATAAACCCAAACTGAGGGACACCCTACAACATATCTGACAAGTACTCCTCAAAGTTGTCAAAGTCATCAAAAACAAGGAGAATATGAGAAAATATTACATCCCAGAAAAGCCTAAGGAGACAGGATGACTAAAGGTAATGTGGTGTCCTGGATGGAATCCAGGGGCAGATTTGGTAAAAATCTGAAATACTGTGTGAAATTTAGTTAATAGTAAGTAATGTACTGATGTTAATTTCTTAGTTACGATGAATGTATTATGTGTAAATATAAATGTAATGTACGATGTTACCAACGTGGGAATCCAGCAGGCGTGAGGAATACATGGGAACTCCATGTATTATATTTTCAACTTTTGGGTAAATCTAAAAGTATTCTAAATAAAAAATCTATTTATATTAAAAATAACCATTCAGTGGGCCAAAAATATTTGATCAGGTCTAGGGGCCATGAGTTTGTACCCTTCAGTTTATGCACTGACATTTCTATGTTTACTGATGAAACTCTCTGATCAGGACTAGCTACATAATTTGCAGAGCCCCTTATTCAAAAATTATTAAGAATTTCAAGATGGTGACAACAGAGTATTAAACCAAGCACAGGGCTCCTCTGAGGGGAGGTCTGTGGGACCCTACATGTTCCACACCTGGGAAGCCGGCATTGACTTGTCCAGCTAAGAGTCGCCCCTGCTGGATAAAACTCCCACTATATACTCTCCATCTGTTCCTTAGCCAATTTAAATAACTAGAAGACATTTATTTATTTTGGAATGTGCCAGACACAAGAGATTCAGCAATAAACAAAGGAGTTAAATTGGGCTGATAAATCATAATATCACCTTACACATAAGTAAACTTGGGCCCTGAAAGCTGGTTTACCTTGGGCCTCTCCCAGGGACACACACCCCTGAGGTTCATCCCCTTGCTCTCTCTATTTTCCCTTTTCCTCCCATCTCAACTGTCACACTGCCTACCACAATGAGATTTCTGAAGAGAGTGGGTTTTTAAAATTCTAATATTAAATGTATAAAAGCTTTATGGGTCTCATTTTATAACATTTGCAAGCAAGATTCAATTACATTGGCTCCTAAGAGAAACTTCACATTTCCTGAGCACCTAAGGGCACCAGATATTAAAGTATCATTCATTATCCTAAACAAAACCAGGAGTTGTCTTCTGTGTGTGTGTGTGTGAGTGTGTGTTCCTGTGGTCCCATTATACCCTGACCCCCTCTGGCTCTGCAGATGAGAAATGGGAAGCTAAGTGAGTTGGAGTCACTAACCCAGTGAACTAGGCAATAGATGGTGAGCTGAAATTTTAACCCAGATCCATCCCCCTCTAAGCCAAACATTTTTCTACCCTCTGCCTCTCAAACACCAAGACAGTTCCTTCAACGTCATTTTTTAAATTAACCTCATCTTTGAGTAAGTACCTCAGTACAGACATACCTCAGAGATATTGTGGGTACAGTTCCAGCCTACCCTAATAAAGCAAGCATCACAATAAAGGGAGTTGTACTCTTTTGCTGGTGGAGGAGCTTGCCATTGGTTTGTAAACAACACAACACCAATACAGTGAAACATGATATAGACAGGTGTGCCTGTAATTAGTTTTAAAAATCCTCAACTGAAATAAATTACTGTGAGACCATTAGCCAATTTTAAGGTTCCTGATGAAATGTGACTTTTGAGAAGTATATGAGAGTTTGGAAAATTTTCTTTCAGAATTTGGTGGAAGTGGGTGGGAAGAGGGGTGAGAAGGCACAGGTGACTCAAGCAATTACCTCTCCAGGACTTCAGACTCTAAAGCAGAGGAGAGGGCTGCAGGCCAATGTCTACCAGCAGCCATGTTTTCTTCAGACTTCATAGTATTTCTAAAATGCTGGCAACATTCAAACATTGGGAACTATAATTCAAAGATCAAGAATTCTGACTTCTCTTGGAAAAACTCAGGAGGCCTGGCAGAAATAGACTGAAATTCAACTCCTGGCAACAGCTACATGATGTCTGCTCCCTGCAAATGGGGCAGCCCCATTCATTTCATTCATTTATCTTGCCAGCCTGGATCCTTTAAAGAAAATGTTGGGTGTGGTTGTAAATTTGATTGCAGTAAATGGTAGGCACTCTGGTTATGTGCCCTTTCTGGCCCTTTCTTGGGATAGGGCTTCTGCCCTTCAAGGACAACATGCCACTCCAGAATGGTGCCCACTGACCTGCTACCCGCTCCTCTAGACCAGGCCATCAGTCCCAGCTGCTGTGGAAGCAGATGGTTTTGTTTTACAAGACCAGGTAAAGCTTGGTTGCATAGAAAATACCTATTAGAAAATCATAACCCTAGTACCATTATCCTTGAATATGCAATACTCTCAAATTCCTTCTTCCTTCCAAGGTCGTCTGAGCATTGTAGTGGGACAGTCCTCCTTCTAATGCTCCATTTGACAAAATGTGCAGAAGGCTACAGTTTGCCTGTTTTCTGAAGGCAACCCCAGGGGAAGCACTGACAGACAGACCCCAGGGGGTGATGAAGGGAAATGGACTGGTGTTTTGCAACACAGGAGTTTTCTCCCTATGTCTTTTTTTTTTGTTAACATGCAGAGGGGGTCTTCCAGTTACATCAGCTTGACTTTCTACCACCTGCATATTTGCACGGTATACATGGACATTGCTAAGGCCCCTGTAGTATGGCATAGTTAGTCTATTCTATATTAACTAACTACATTGATGTCTGAGTGATGTCACACAGAAGCACAGTGGACCAGCTGTACTCACTGGAGAACAAAAGCCCCACCCCTCCTGACACATGTATCCTGAGAGAGGCCTCCAGGAGCTTCAGGGACCAACCTGCAGAGTACATGTGCCCTGCCCAGCACCACCTCTGCTGCGTTCCTACAAAGGTTCGCACACTTCCGAGGTCCAAAGGAAT